TTTCCAAACTTGGTTTAATTTCTTTCTATTGAAAACATGTTTTCAAGTAGAGGTAAGGAAATAGAGCAGAATCTTCATTTTGTCCAATGAGACCAGTATTGTATTCTGTCGTGGAGGTTCAGAAAAGTGTTCTTAGCAAGAAAATAAATGGGGGGGGGGTGTTCCACTTAAAAATTTGTAATCTAATATGTAATATGTTTACACATATGCAAAGAAACACGGTTAAAAACAATTATGAAAAAGAACATCCTTGTGATCCCTATTTAGGCTGGGAAATAAAACCTTTCAGGCTTTCTTTTTTTTTTTAATTGAAGTATAGTTGATGTACAATATTCTATAAGTTATGGGTGTACAACATAGTGATTTACAATTTTTAAAGGTTAGACTCTATGTATAGTTATAAAATATTGGCAAGGTCCTGTGTTGTATAATAAATCTTTGTAGCTTATTTTATACCTAATAGTTTGTACCTCTTAACCCCTTACTCTTGTATTACCCTTTCCCCTTTTACTCTCCCCACTGGTAACCACTAGTAAAATGTATTTTTAAGATAATATGTATTTTAAGAGTTTCACATTTTTTTGTTTTAAATTTTCTACCATATTCTTTTGAAGTTTTAATAATGTCTTTTTCTATTGCTTATGTTTTCAGTAGAAATGTACCATAATCATATTTTTTCTTCCCTTAGGTGATTGAATGGGTATTAGAAAAGACAAGCAAGAAATAACACAGGATCATTCTCTTTGGATAATTATAAATTGGACAAAGCGATTATTTACTACTTCCTTCCTTAGTTTGAAAATCACAAATTTCAAACTTTATTCAAAGAATAGGTGTTACATCTTTAAAGAATTTTATAAATATCCTATATTTATATAGTTTTGAGGATAGTCGGTTAATGTATTTTTAATTGTGTACTTATTTTATAGTTCTACTATATTTTAATTTTTAAAGTTAACATTTTTCTATATGTTTTAAAAATTTTACTCTTGGTTATTTAATTATTCCAATAAATAGAAAAAGATATTTCTTTACTTCTTGGTAAATGTCTTTGTTGTTAAGCATATTTAAATTACGAAGTCTTAAGTAAGACATTGCCAATGGCTTGTCTCATATGTTGGGCCAGCATGATTGGCCCCTGATTTAGAAAATATTGGCTAAAAAATTCACACAATTGGCCATGTTCCTTTACCCCTGCCCTGGAGCCGCTGCTGTTGGAGCTATTAATGTTTATTTGGGATCAAAATTGAAGAAAGAGCAAAATTGTGAAAATAAGACATAGTGAAAATGACTAAATACAAACTCCCAGAAAAAAATATCTTTTTTCATGGCAGAAAATCTGGAAAATGTGGAAAATGTGGAAATACAAAGAAGAGTGGGAAAAATTTCCAACATTGTCCTCACTATAGGTAACACTGTGTTTAAAATACTTTTGAAATTGGGGTCATACGTGTGTGTGTTTATATGTGTAATATGTGTGTATATATGTGTATTAATTTATAGCCTGCTTTTCACTTAACAATGTGATATAACAATATGATATAACTTAATAATATGAAATGAACTTTATATCATATATCATTATTTTAATAATTGCATAATACAAATGAACCACAATTGTGTAACCAGTCCCCCATTGTTGGGCATATAAGTTTAGTTTTTCCATATTATAATTAAAACTTTAGTGAATATTCCTGGTACATCACTGATTATTTCCTTAGTATAACTTTTTTTGGAGTGGAACTTGTGAGTCTTAAGATTTTTAGTAAATATTTCTGAATTGCCTTTTTGAGAGACCAGTTTGTACACCCACCAGCAAAGTCCCTTTTTCCTTTTTTGATGACTGAAAATAGTGAAGGTGAACATTTTTTAAATGTGTTGGCCACTTTTTAATTGACTGTTTTTATTTTGAATATCTTGACTTTTTCTTACTGGTTTGTAAGCATTCTTATATATTAGAGGTATTAGCCCCTTGTCATTTTGTTTATTGTGTTAACGAGATTTTTAGTTATTGTGCAGTCAGATCTACCATCTTTTTCTTTATACAGACAGCCCTCTGTATCCATAACTTCAACATCAACTGGTTCAACCAACTGCACGTTGAAAATATTTGAAAAAAAAAAAAATTCCAGTAAGTTCCAAACAACCAGAACTTGAATTTGTCGAGACATTTTTATACAAGTACAAGCATATTACACGTGTCCATTCCTTCTCAACTGAGCAGACCCAACACTCCTTTTATAAGAGGTATTTTTAATGTCCCTTTGCTGTCATCAGGTGAAATTGATAAATGAGTCTCAGGCCACGTTCCCTTGAAAATGAAACCTGAGGCACAGATTAGGTGCTGATGCTTTATTTAGGAGGCCCAATTCCAGGGCACCGAGAGTGGAGACAAAGAGGGCAAAGGGCAGGAGAGGCAGGGAAGCGAGGCGGGTGCTGTGTGAGGGCACTGGACACTGTCGTGAGGCCCACGGAGACACAGTCGTCCAGTGGGTGTCTTCTCATTCACATTGGATGGCTCTAAGGATATACAGTGTATGGAGAAACCATGTCTCTGAGAATTACACAGGAAGGAGGCAGGAAAGGATTATTTATCTGCTCAGCTCCTTCCTATTATCTCCGGTTTGGCCCCACAAAGGTTTAAATAAATCCCCTGCAGTTCAGAGTTGCTCAGGTCATCACCTTTAGCAGCTGCCCAGGATGCCAGTTCTTACGCCCTACAGGGTGGCTTTTCATTCAGGTCTGAAATTGATGACAGAACCCAGAAATTCAAGCCTGTATCTCCTTAGCCTGGTTGCCTGGCAGCAGCCAAGGGGAGGGGTCGGGGGAGGCAGCATTTCCAGGAAAGCAATTGGTCGGCTCTAAGTGGCAGAAACACTTAGGTCAAGCAGAGCTGACTGTGGTGGTGCCTGAGGTCGAATAAGCAGCTGAAAGTCTAGGAGACCAGACAATCACACTGAGGAAACTTAAGGAGATATATAGGATGTGCCTAGTTTAGTCAGAAGCTACATGCACTCAGGATTTTTTTAAAATTGATATCCCCTAATTGTAAAGAAGTTTTGGAAAGGGAAAGTAATGATAATACAATAATGTGCATTTCAGTATGGAGATGCTGGGGTACCACCTACACTAGAGACAAAATGAAGCAGTCAAATATTTGGCTTTCAGTTAGATTCAGCATGAATGAAGCACATATAGTACTAGTCATGCGCTCGTGTTGGTGACTCAAGTACCACAAACACACTTGCTGCTGATGACTTGTTTTTATAAAATGTTTTATCAAACGCCTGGAGCAAAACAAAAACAATCTTTCTTCCATATGCCCAGTAGTTGCGTACCTAGGAAATTCAGCATATATTGAATCAGTCAAAAAATATTTTCAGATGTAAAATGTCATCAGGGTCTAGGCTCAGATAATTGTAACGTTTTTCACCTACATGAATAACTGAGAGGACACCAAAATTGTGTGGGAAATGGTTCTGCTGGATGTGAGGACTGGCATCACACATTGCAGGGAGTCACCGTATCTGGTTCTTGTTCAGCAAATACTAATAGTGTCCCCCTCCCCGTGACAACAAAACGACACTCGCACAGACTCCAAATGCCCTACAGCACCCTTCTCCTTGAGAAACATGTTTTTAAAGAACAAATGGAATATATATCTACATATCTATATCTGCACTTTGCAGAGCTTGCATTTAGAAATTTTATCCACATTAGATGGACCATTCTCTGTAACAGTTGCAGAATATCCTGATGCATTTTGAGCCAGGATTTATTTAGCTCTATTGATGGTCACATTGACCTTTTCAGCTTCTTGTTACAAACAGTGCTTCCAAGGTGATCTTTATATTAGTCTTTGTACACTTGTGTAATTATATCTCTAAGACAAATTCCCATAAGTCAAAAGGTGCATATATTTAAAAATTTTTATAGCTACTGCGGTTATATGCACCTACTAATGGGTGTGTAAATGCCTGTTTTCCCATCATTTCCCATCACTAGGTATTATGGAAGGTTTTAATCCTGGCCAATTGATTCTTTAAGGATAAAAATGAAGAATGTTAAATATCCTATGTAAAGCCATTTTCAGATCATTTTATATTACCTGGAAGCCCTAGCCTTGATTTGTCATTTATTTAGGATGCTCATGTAGAAGAGACTGGACTTTTGAGTGTTTTCTAGGGTAGAACAAGGTGATAACTAAAAGTTAGACAGATAAAAGTTTTGGCTCTAAGAATGTCAGAACTTTCCAGCAACTCTAGCCATCCAGCAATGGAATGGCCTGCCTCACGAGATAAGTGGCTTCCTCCCATAGCTGAAAGTGTTCACTCTCGGCTGGGATGAACAACTGCAAGGGATGTTCGGGAAGAGATTCCTGAAATTTAGTGGAATATTCTACAAGGTCAGTGTTTCTCAAATGTAGTACTTGGATTATAGGGTATGTGAGATAATGTTAGGTGGTACAGACTTCAAAATAAATTTTTACTTGGCGTATACATATGTATACTGTTGCTATATTATGAGCAAATCATACATCCTAAGATACTAAGGTAGTGTTGCTACAATGAGAAACTTTGGGCAGTAGTGTTCTTGATACCTCTGAAGTCTCTTCTAAACTGAGATTCTGCAGTTCTAAATGTCATCTCAATTCTACTACATTTTTAAGCAGTGAAAGATTTCTCAACCCCAGCCTGTTACATTTATTACAAGCAACTCAAACACAAACAAAGTTCTGGTACTACAGAGAATTTGTGTATTTAGTGTTTGGTGTACAGGTAAAATCCCATAAGAATTTAGTTAAAAGGAGAGCACTGAGCCCCAAGTGAAGACCCATCCTGAAACAATACCCACAAAAAACACAAAAAATTGCTAGTGGTGTCCCCTTTACCTGTTAGCGCATTTCAAGGCCAAGCTTGGAGGAGGAGAGTAACAGGATGTATCTTCACACTCCCATGTCCCTCTGTGGCTATTAGGAAACCACCAGCCAGCCCACCATATTCAGAGGTGAATATTTATTTAATTCATATATAAATTTTACATGATATCCATAGTGCTATAAACATAGGCACATTTTTTTTAAACTCAAGGTACATTTCAAAAATTACTCCCTCACCCCAGTCCACTCCAACACCCTCAAAATAGAATATCTAATATTTGTAAAACAAGGGCCAGAAAGGCCCTGCTCATTAATTTTAGGAGAAACTTTCTGCCCATTAAGACCATTCCTTCTGACTTCAGCCAAGCAGGGTCAACAAACTTTTGGACAAAGGAACATGCATTTTTCAGCACTTTAGTACATTACTTGTTAGAATTAATTAAATGCCTCAGAGTATTTTTAATGGGTTTATAGTTTTGTTTCTCCTACTTGGTTCAAGTCAGAAAAAAAAATTGGTATCTGTATTTTCTAATGGCCTTTAAATTCCTATGGGATGGTTTAAAGATGTCACCACACCAAAGGGCTCACCTAATCACATGTACTAACAAATGGGCAGCTTCCCACAAAGTATCTATTAAGCCATCATTCATCAAGTATTAGTTTGCCCTTAAAGGGACAAACATGGTGAATTTAATAATTCATCATCAATTCAGATAAGACACAGATTGAGCACAGAGCAAACTGGACAGAAATTCCCCAAAATGATTCAACTCATTCATTAACTGTACCCAGATGTATGAGTTTGTGTTATTCACAACATTCATAACACACATCAAGACAAGATTAAAATCTACAATGTAAAGTCATAACTTGATGAATTCAGAATGAGAAAAAAAAATGAGTATTTGAAATTGACTCATTATAACCACTCTGATATGGTACACTTTGACTTGGAGGAAAGAAAAAAATTTATATACACAATTCTCTTAGTAAAATTTTCTATTTCTTGCTAATTACACATTTTAATTCAGAAAATGCATTAATTTTATTCAAATATATTTTTCTAAAATATAAATATTTAAATTAAACTTTTATAAATGCAGAGAATGTAGTTTCTGTTGACCCTACCCAGGTATTAATCAGTCCCAAACTCAAGTGATGAAGAAATATTTGTAATTATGATTATTTTAATTTGTCTATAAATATATAATAGGATCTTTGCAACTTAATTATGAGTAATTCATTCACACTTCATGTAGTACTGAGCACCTTAGATTACATATCGATTTAAACTACTGGCATTAATAGATGTATTTTAATATATTATTTACAATACACAAGTATGATTCTCTTGTATAACAACATTCCAGTGATTTTGAAAATATATAATGAAAGAGTGTGGTATAATTTACAAATGCATCAAAGCTTTCCTACAACATTCAGGCTGGGACTTCACTCTTCAGCATTTGAAAACAGGAAACAAAACAAAATCAGTGTCCCAAAGCTGTGTTTTCCAAAGTGATTTTTTTGTTTGTTTGTTTTGTGTTTGTGTGTGTGTGTGTGTTTTAAACACTAGCTTCACAAGATGCTGTTAGGAGTTCTGTAGGAAAGCATGAGGAATGGCACACAGCCCCGCCCACTCCTTGCAGAATTGCAATGTGCAGTAAAGTCTTTGAGGAGGCCTGCAATCATGAAACTGTTTAACATTTTTAAACTCAGTATTTAACAAACATTTTTGATTACCAACCCCCTTATTTCGCACCCTCCCCCCCAAAACATCGCTTAATCAATGCCTCTTGGAACTGGTATTACATGATATGTACTTCAGGGAAATAGTGATCTAAAATAAAATGCTGATCTAAAGTAAAACTCAATAAACACATATATCTGAGTGAACAAAATCACATTCTTTTAAAACAATTTCACTTTTTAAAGCTCTTTGCATAGGTATTTGCTAAAATATGGTTCTAAAAAAACACACAAATCTAACCCAGAACATTTGTTTATGTAAACTACAGGGAGAAAAAGGATACAAACACAGAAATTCTACAGCTAATTTTCTAGGTTTGAGGACAGTGACTTTAAAATCAAATAATATGTTTTTTTGGTGAATTTGTTTTGAAATATAAAAGCAAAAATGTTAAAGCAGTAATATGCTATATGATGTCTGAAAATATTCTTGTAGAAAAATATCAGGTCATTATATTATTTCCCTGGAATTCCAGAAGTTCAGTGGATGCTATCAATGGGTTTGATTGTAACATTGGCTCTCTATGTAAAACTCAGCATAAACCAGAATCAAAATAAGGCCGTTCTATCACTTGCTTGAAAATGCATGCATACAAGCACAGGCAAAAACAAGGGCCAGTAAATTGCTCAGTACTTTCACTGAAAACCACAAAACGGGGATAAATGACCCCATGTGAATTATTTTATATATATATATATCACTCTCAGATGGCAATCTTTTTAAAAATATCCATAATTTGCTTTCCATAAATAAAGCTATAAGTCATGGCTCTAAGATAGATAGCAAACCTTGGTGTGAGAGTTGTCCCAGAATTAATCATCTTTCACACACACCACTCTTCAGCAAAGCTTTGTAATTTAAGCAGTCTACTTCGGCTCAGAATCCACCAGCTTATAGTTCAGATCAGCATCTGATGCTTAATGAATTCCCCCTCATCGTATGCTAATAAGAACACTTCCGAACCATCCTACATCACTGAAAGATAATTCACTAAGAAAACGTGACAGCTGTTTCATACTTAAATAAAAGGTAGGTTTCCATGTGAAGTACTTTTCTTTCCTTACCGGTGAAAGTCAACTCAATTAGAAGCAGGAAATCACAATAAAACAAGGGATCCCTGTTACTCATCGGGAAGAGGTAAAAAATGTCCATTTATCACTTTTTCAGCCCTTGCTTACCTGGGTGAACCAGTTGCCTAGAAACTGCTATGATTGGGATCTTCACATGCTGTTCTAATGTTCCTGACCTTGATTGTCATTATTTAAAAGCTACGCTGTGTGTTTCCAATCAGCCTCTTCACCCTTTTCCTGTTCTGAAAAGACAGTTTCATTCTGATAGCCCTGGTGGTATTTTCTGAGGGTGCCCTTACAGTTGCTGAAATTGGAGTCTGCTACTGTTAAACAGGACTCTTGGGAGCTAAAGCTGACTGTGGCATGCTACATCTGGTGCGTCACTGCAAATGGTGTCCATTATGTCACTTTTTGGTGGCATCGCAGCCCTCTTCTTCTCAAAGGCAATTCGCCCCTCTCTGTTCAGGCCACCAAACCCAGTCTTGTAATCTTAGCTGACAGGAAGGAATGGATGATGAAAACAATCGGCTTGGGGCAGGAATGAAGGTCCAGTTGCTGAAATTTAAAGAGGAGAGCATGAAAGATTTCAACTTAATGCTTGATAAAAAATAGTGATTTCCAAATCAAACCGATCTGTGCACTTCCTGCTTTTAAGTGTTAACTGGATTGTGTTTCTAAGTCCTTGCCCCACTGTGAGATTAAAAAAAAAAAAATAACTCTTTGAACTTATTCCTTATATCTCATGTGTCTTTTTTCCAAAACACATTCTGTGAAATTTATACATACCAATAGCATAAATATCGGTGTTGCCTATCCTAACTGTCTAAACCATTTATTTTTGGTATCACATAGTGATATTGTTTATGCTGAGGTAGGTACAGTACGAAGCAGTACTAAATTTCACATCCTACGTTTGAGTTCTGGTTCTAACGCTTTTTAGATATGCACATAATCTTGGACATGTCACTTGAAATTTTTCTTATTCCGACCTAGCTCAAAGGGTAATCAGAGTGTTAAATAAGATACTGTATGTGAAAATTCCTTATAAGCTCTAAAACACAGAATCCATGCTGCAAAGCAGCTCTGTCCTCACTGTCTCATACTCTTGGATTCTTGTAAGCATGTACATCACATGTCTGTAAGTCCCCTACTGGAGTCTTATCTTTCTCAGTGTGTTCCTACAGAGCTGGCACAGGGTCAGAGCTTAACAGGTTGAATTTTTATCACCCGACCTAATTGAAGAGCATTGAGTGTGTTGTTCCCAATTGTCATCTGCTGTCCCCATTTCTGTTCTGATGATGACACTGTTGAAGAAAAACAACCTAAGCTTAAAATAGGATCAAGAAAAGTAAGCGGTACTTATTGTGAGCCAGGCACTGTGCTAAATACTTCCTATGCACTATCTAATTTAATTGTCACAAAATCCCTATGAGGTAGCCATTGTTATCATCCCTGGGTCTTATATGGGAAACTCAGGTTTGGAGACATTAGAAAACTTTCTGAGATCGTAGATCTTACAGTGAAGAGAAAGCGTGGACTTGAATGCAGGTCTGCCTGATGCCTGAGCCTGGGCTTAACCGTCCTATTTTATGGCACTAACACAGACTGCAACTTTTAGAAGTAAACTTAAAGATCAGCTACTTCAGTCACTGAATTTTACAGACGAGGAGACTCAGATCTAAAAGAATAAAAGGACTTGCTCAAGACAATTGGTGAGTGAGTTCCAGACTCAGAAAGAGAACATGGGTCTCCATCCCCTCAATTTATTGCATTTTCTACAACTCATCTCTGCTCCCTAACCCCGCACCGGGAAGCCCTGGCACCTGCTTCTGGCGGATGCTTAGCTAGATACTGGGGAAGCCGCGTCTGAACTTGAGCTTATCAGCCTAATATACTGGCAGCAAAAAGAAAAAAATCAGTCCTTCCTGAGTCCTTCAAGTCAGGTCGTAATTATGGGCAGAAAGGCTGAAATGTAGACCTAAGTGATTTTCCTCACGGGTAAAAACAGCCTTGAATTTTCAAGCCAAAGATAAAGCAGAAGACTTGCTTCTTGTTCTCTTCCAGGCTGCTAGGGAGTAGCCACCTGTAGGAAGAAGTACACAGCGGGGTGACTGATAGCGTGGCAACTGAACCAGGAGCATTCTCAGCCAAATGGCTTTTCCAGTCACTTATTTCCAAACGGGTGCTTCAGCCTGAATTTACTGACTGAAACACACAAATAAACAACAACAAAAATTCTATAAAATCCTGCAGATCCATCTTAAAGGTCAGCAAAATGACTGGCTGGAACTTGTTCTCAGAAAGTGAGTCCAAATCCACTGTCAGCCACAGGGCAGCATCTTCATCATGACTGCCTGTGGCCCCCGCAGGGAGAACTCTGGTACTGACTGGGGCCAGGAGTACCGTGTGACCTAGAACAGTGGTACTGACAGTCTGAGATTGAAGGGCCCTGTGCTCTTTTAAGTGTGGCCTTGGGCCTTCAGAGAGACCGGGGGAGGGGGGGAGGGATTGTGCAAGGCCAGTAGCTGAGCCGAAATGACTAGATCTTTAAGATAGATTTATCCCTGTGTTTTATAGATCCCCTGTCCCTGTTATCAAGTGTGAGTCAATAAATATTTGTCGACTAAGCCAGTGACTAGGAAGGACCTAACCAGAGACTAGTTGTTAGAATTGAAGGTCCTCTTTGAAATTCTTCAAAGATTCCATGGCTTGAATGAGATGCCATGTCTTCCTGAGAAATGTCAAAAACCACACTTGCTAGAAAGTAGAAGAATGTGCAACTTTCACCCTGCCATGCAACTTTCTTTTTGGTAGGCGGTAATGATCGTGGAAATCATGACTTTAGACACGGGCAATTTGCATTGATATAAGTATGTGTGACCTTAATTGACCAATCTTCTGGTTTGTTAGACATTTTTTTGAGATGAACTCAAAACTTCTGGGTCCTTGTCTGGCCCTCCCTCTGCTGGAGTAGAGTTGACCAGTTTCACTTGGTGTCCTCACTGCCCCTGTGCTTTGCCCCTCATCCAGCCCCTCCCCCTCCATGCTTGGCATGCTCTCTGCTCCTCTGAGACCTCCCAGGTAGCCAGGACTGTGTATTTTACATCCCTGCATCCCTGACACCTAGCACAACGCCCAGGTTAGACTAGATGCTTGACACTTTTAAAAAATGAATGGTACATTTTGAAGCTTGTGGGATCCTCTTTGAGAGGAACTTAATGCTGACTTTGTTCTTCCCTTGGAGTCAAATATTTCTGTAGTACTCCTGTGGAAAATGAGACCAAAGCAAAGAGCTGTGAAAAAGCTGGATCCTATCCCTATTTTCCAAGGATCAAAAAAGACACAAACCTATCAGTACTTTGTTAATAGTCAAATGCTAAATAAATATAAGGCAGCATTACATTTACAAGCCATTATGGGTATGTTGCATGATGAAAGATACGAAATCACACTGTGCAAAGAAAAGTGTACTTACAATCTCTCCATCTTTGCCTCCAAAATCTAAGTACAGCATCCTGATTCCATCATCTGAAGACATTTTCAGCTTTTCATAAGGAGCCTGTATGATTGTCTTGGGAAAGGCACCCTCCTGTGGTTCAGTGGTAAGAGAAAATCCATTGTCATAATGTATGGTCAAGCGGCACTCCTGGTTTTTGTAGGTGCAAGCTGAGAGAGACAGAGACAGGAGTATGAACAGTGGAAGTCCATCCATTTTCCCAGGCGTTTAACCTTCAAGTCTCCTCATTCCCAGGGCCCAGCCACAAACTTCTTTCTAAAGTGAGACAATACTAATTGTTCTTGAAAATATTTTTCTTGGATTGATTCTGATACTGTAATTTAGCCTGCCCCGTGAAAGTTAGGGAAATAAATTGAAAGGATTTACTGAATTTTCTCTGGGTTCTTGCCCTTATCTGACCATCGGACAACATGTAGAGAGACAGGTGTTCCTGCCTTCCAATGGCCTCATCTCAAGTTGGAAAAAAGTGACATTGATTTAGAGTAAGCTACCTCTGAATCATCATCATCATCACACAGTCAATCAATGAATCAATCAGTGCTGTGTGTGTACCAACCAGTGACAGAAGCAAGCACTCCCCTAATTACATTACCCAAATAGTAACATGTAAGAAGTCAGGAGTGAGTAGTTTGGAAAAAAAAAACAAAACCCTAATTTTTAATTAAAAGTCGAACAAAGTCCATTTTGTAAAGAGGAGTACTTTTTGAATTTCCCTGATGATCTGATAATCCTGGGTCCTGGAAACGCTGCTGATGCAGACAGATGTCAGATATGGCACCTTCTGAGAAGGTGCTGTTTGCTCCCTCTTCCCAGTGTGGCAGCCAGGGCCCTCCTCTGGTGTCCACAAGGTGCCCTCTTATCCAACGGAACAAAAGTAAAGCCTTTTGATCAGGTTAGGTGCCAGCTTTCACCTGTGGTCCGCATCTCGTTTAGGAAGAGACCAGCACTTCAAGATCATGAGCTGGTCAGGGGGACTGCCACCCGAATCCCAGTGCCTATTAGGAAGACTTGTGAGTGTTTGAAACCCTTCATCAGAGAGTTCTGAAAAGTGTTATTACGTATCAGGATGGGTTTTGGGTTTTGGCGGGGCTTGGGGGGTTTTTTTTGGCCTCACAAAACACCACATTTAACAGACCCTGGCAAGTAAATTGGCTCTGGCCGTCATATACATCTGAAAGCTCTTTAGGGAATGTTTCCTTTGCTGGGGATGGGGCTGGGGAGGAGTAAAAGGAAGGGCAGTATTGATAACTCTACCATCGTCAGCTCAGCTCAGCTTTATAAACCCAAATGAACTTCACCTTACCACACTTTGGAAGCAAGATCTTAGCTTATTATTACAGGTGGAAAAAGCAAAGCTCAGAGAAGTGAACGTGTCACAACTCTGTGGCTTAGATTTCAAGGTTCAACTTCTTTCCTTCCACTGTCTCCTGCATCCTTCTCACACTCTGGGGCTCAGGCGATGGAGGGCTGTGGAGAGGGACCCGGGCCAAGAGTCTCTCAGAGTAAGACTTGGGGTCGGGGAGCCCTTCAGAGCTGGGGGGAGACATGGGGTCTCTGCTCACAGAATGAGGTGGCTTTTAATTGGTTAACACGTATACCCCTTTCTTCGACAGAGCCATCTTTTAACTTGTAACCAAGGGTTGATATTTTCCAAAGGTGCACTCTCTAATAGGTCTATGAGTCCCTCTGGGCAGAGCCCCTTGGCAAATGTTAAGGTATTCTCTCAGAAGGGCCCTGGACCTCTGCCACCTGTCCGTCCAAGGATGACCAAACTGAAACCCAGATACAGCATGGATGTAGTTACGCCCTTCCCAAACTGAATCCTCATTTTTGACAGTTTTTACTTCTAACATCTGCAGAATGTGGGCAACTGGGCTCTGACCATGTGTGCCCCCCCCCACCCCACTGCCTTCCTCTATGTCTGAACGTTAAGCCTATGCCACTGGATGGTCTGAATTAACTGCTTGTGATTACTTTTAATGCTAGTTGTCCTAACCTCGTGTTTGTGGCCTTTATATAATGGAATCAGTTATCTGAGGAGGTTCTTAATTTACACAGGATAAAGTGAATACATTATCAAGTTAATTGAAGCCCCTTTCCCCAACTCTCTGCAGGCATCCTTCAGTTTGAAACTGGGCTGCACCTTTGGTTATTCCCCTCATTTCTTCTCTCCCAGCCCCCAGCTAGCTCAGTCTACACAGTTCTTCGTCATTCTCCTTTGGCTGGTCTATCCACAGCTTCCTTGTTTTCCTGTCAGAGTAGAGTTCGGCTTATTGAGACAAGGATTTTACTAAATTAGTGGAATGGAAACTAAACCCCATCTGGCCATCTTCATTGCTGACGTTGCTGCAAGGGGTCTGGACTTTTCTGCTATTACACGTGTAACTTCACCGTATCTAGTTTTCAGATGGCTTGGGCCTCTTCCAGCTCTCAGGTTCGAGACCCCAGTTTTCCTGCCGTACAGAAATGGCATCAAAGACAAAAGCTTCCGCTGACTCTCCACGAGACATTTTCAACGATGTTGGAAAACACTGGCGGCTACCAGTTCGTTTCAGGGTGACTTTAAAAAGACACTGATGATGTTGGAGACGCTGCTGCTTCTACAAAACATCTAGTTTTTCCTGTTTGCACGAGTAAAGGAGCTACGGAGAAGCCCTGTTCCATGTTGACGTGTGTCCCATCTTTTACAATTCTCCTGGGTGCCGGAGGAAGTTGCCCCCTAGGGCAGCAGTCCTCAGAGTGGTCCATGGACTGGCAGCATCAGCACCACCTGGCATCTTACTAGATACAGATTGTCACACCCCACTGGGGAACTGCTGCATGAGGATCTCTGGGAGTGGGTGTCAGCAATCTGAGGCTTCCACTTTGTGTTGTTGTTTTCAGTGCAATGAAAGTTTGGAAGCACTGTACCTAAGATGTCTTGTGGGAAAATCCTGTTCATCTAAAAGATGACTTGTGCAGAAATCCTCTTCATTTCTACCATGATGGAAATGTTCTAGGTCTGTACTGTCCAACACGGTAGAAATGACTTCTGACTATGCTACTGGCTACCTTTTCCTGAATGAAGATGGGGTATGGCTTTTCACAATCAAACCCTTAGATTCCATTTTAGTAGGGCATACAGTGCCTTCATTTAGAAGAATTTGTTTACTTCTGGAGTTTGAAGTACCCCAAGAGGCCAGTCATGGAAACTGCTCCGGGGCCACGGTGGAGGAGAAGGCGCATTCTTCCTGTAGGAGTGTGACATCTCGAGCCCACGGGCAGCAGTGCTCACCTGCGGTAATTTCAGTAGTCAGTTCAGCTGAGTTGTGGCACCCCTGTACGATGCTCCTTGTCCAGTGTGAGAGGTCCCTGCTGATCTCAGCCCTGAATAGATGTGTTTCAATCCCCTGCCGGGTACCAGTTCGTGTTGCGAAGGACAGATCCACGCCAGCCTGGGGCGATCCTTTCCCTGGACCTGAATGGACCAGCCTGTTGAAAAAGAAAGAAATCATCAAAATGCAAACTACTGTATTAACCTGATATGTCACCTGGTAAAAGCCCCCACATGGGTGATTTGCTCTCATTTTTCTGATCTGGAACCAAAAGTTCCACTATACCTTACCGTTCACCCTGGTTTTCTGCCATCTCCTTTCCCAGGCCCTCTTTAATGGCAGAATGAGATTAAGACAGTGGCCAAGACAATTAAAAAGTGAAGTACTTACACATACCACAGCATGGATGGACCTTGAAAACATGCTAAGTGCAAGAAGCCAGACAAAAAAAGATGACATACTGTATGATTCAATTGGTATGAAATATCCTGAATAAGCAAAGTAGACCAGTCTTAAGTCTGGGAGTGACGGGTTAAGAAGTGCAGGATTTCTTTTTGGGGGTGATGAAAATGTTCTAAACTTGATTGTGGTGATTACTGCACCATTCAGTGGACATTGAATATAATAAAAGCCACTAAACTATTTAAAAAAAAAGATCATAGTGAAGAACTGTGCACCTGGTTGAATATACAGAGGAATTGAATATTATGACTTTAACTATGGTTAGACAAATTCAACTATACTCACTCAGCCAAAAAGAAAGATGATTAAGTAAATGAGAGAGAGAACAATTTAGATAGTGTGTAAAATTCTCCCCACCATTGCATCCCTGGGCAGAGAGATGCCCCAACGCAAGCATAAGACAGAAAAGTAAATCCATTGTCTCCTAGACTAGACTTGTCCTTTGGAGCATCTGGCTGCATTGAATGCACTTCTGGGTATGCACTTCTCACGCACATAGCCTCCAAATGCAAGCAAACAACCACGAGACTCAGCTGAAGAAGCAGCAATCTGGGTATCTGTGTTAAAGCTTGAAAAAGAACGGCAGTGCCAGACTTCTTGAGAAACGGAAGAGACTTGCACTTTATGGGGGATTTAAGGGATTTTCAAGAGTGTGTTTTATGGCACACGATTTTCACACTGACTTCAGAACATGCATTCAGCATAAAATGTGACTCCCACGGTAAATATTTCCTAAAACGCCAGACTTAAAACACGAGGAATCAGAGTCTCTGAGCGCTACCTTCTGGGCAGCCACTGGGTCCTACTTCTCACTTGTCCCCTCTACACATTCGGATTTGTTACGTTCTCTCCTGCTCCTCTACTTCTCAACCTCCTTTTGGGAGAGATTCTCATATCAATAATTTGCAGGGGAGGATGAGTATAATTTAGTAAATGTTACTTCTCTCGAGGATATTTGCAGTTTCAGCCTTATCTTTTAATACAGAAAGAAACACTTTACCATTTGCTAGAGAAATTCCAGGTGTCTATTCACTTGGTGGATGGGGGAGTTATTTTCTTAGGCAAAGGGCTTGTTACCTTTAGATTAAAAATTGCACAAAGGAAATCCAAAAGCACATTTTCTCTTGCAAGCTGAAGTACTGCAGACCAAAATTATCTGTGGAATAAAACATCGCAGTCCATTGAATTTCTAGCAACAAGCTTACGTAAGTCTGAGGAGCTTTCTTTTACTTACAAAGTTGAAATTTGGTAGGAGGGATGGTTTGCAATGCTTACTTGGAGAAAAAGTTTAATTGAAAAGCCTTTTGATTGCACAATTCTTTGAAGTAGAGAAGTTCCCAAGAGGTAACAAATGTTGGCAAAAATGTAGAGTAAAGGGAACCCTTGTACACCATTGGTGGTCATGTAAATTGGTGCAGCCACTATGGCACACAGTATGGAGGTTCCTCAAAACATTAAAATTAGCACTACCTTTGATCCAGCAGTCACACTTCTGGGGAGTATCTCAGAAGGAAGCAAAATCAGTATCTCAAAGAGCTTATCAGCACTCCCATGTGCATTGCAGAATGATTCACAATAGCCAATATGGAAACAAACTAAATGTCCGCTGATGGATGAGTGGATAAAGAAAATGTGATAAAACACACACACACACACACACACATACACAGAGGAATATTATTCGGCCTTAAAAAAGAAGGAAATCCTGCCACTTACAACAATATGAACCTGTAGGCATTATGCTGATTGAAATCAGACTGAGAAAGACAGATACTGTATGGTCTATCTTTTATGTGGAATCTAAGAAAAGTCAAACTCATGGAAACAAAGCAAAATGATGGTTGCCAGGGGCTGAGGATGGGGGAGATGGGAGATGCTGGTCGAAGGGTACACATTTTTAGTTATAAGATGAGTAAGTCCTGAGGACCTAACGAACAGCACAGTGACACAGTTAACTGCCCTGTATTGCATACTTGAAGTTTGCTGAAATTAAAATTGGCAGAAAAAGAAAAAGGTAACTGTGAGGTGATTGAGTGTTAATTAACTTGATAGTAGCAATCATTTCACAGTGTATAGGGGTATGAAACCATCATGTATAAACCTATATAATTTTATTTGTCAATTATACCTCAGTAAAAAGATAATAAACGAGAGAGAAGTTCCATGAATCTCACTGATAGGAGAGTCTAGGACAGAGTGAAGGGAAATGTCTGCTGACATGGGTGCCCCCACCCAGGGATGGAACACATAGAGACTGAGTCCTATTTGTCAGGAGGGGGGATGGCGTTTTGTAATGAGAAGGGAAGGGGGGATGGTGTAGCTCAGTGGTAGAGTTCGTGCTTAGCATGCACGAAGTCCTGGGTTCAATCCCCAGTACCTCCATTAAAAAAAATAAAATAAAATAAAATTATAAAAAAGAAGAGCACATAAACCAAAAAATTTAAAAAAAACCTAGCTCTTCCTTTTTAAAATCTTAAACTCTGTGTCAGTTGGGCATAGCTGGCCGGCTGCACAGTAAACTGAAAAGAGACATAGGTTTGAGAGGCTTAAAAACCTGCATTAGAACCCTCTTGTACCATTAGTTAAATGTTCTAAGAATCACTACCACATAAAGTAGTGTTGTTAAAATCAAATAGATCATCTATGTGCTGTACCGAGTACAGAACCTACCATATGGTTTATACTCAATATTATTTCCATCCCTTGCCCGTATGCACAGCTTCCTTATTTTAAAAACATAAAATAGATAAATAGCAAGGTCCTCCTGTATAGCACAGGGAACTATATTCAGTACCTTATAATGGCCCATAATGAAAAAGAATATGAAAAGCAATATATACATATATATGTATAGCTGAATCACTATGTTGTAACACTAGAAATTAACACAAAATTGTAAGCTAACTATACTTCAATCAAAAAAAAAGAAAAGAATTTGATAAAAATATAATTTCTGCTTCATATGATTAGTATTTAATCTAAGGAAATATATGAAAGACTTAATCCAGTATTTAGTGCATCATAGTAGGCATTCAACAAAAATTAATTTCCTTATGCCTTCCCTGGCCTCACTTTCTATCCACTAAATTTCCACCCAAGGGACACAACTTTGTCATAATCCAGGGTCAATGGAAATGTAACACAGAGGCACAAGAGAAATAAGAGAAAAGATATACCACCCTCATGGAGAATGTCACATTTCTGCGAATTTCTTACCAATATTTATTTTTCTCCAGAGAGACTATAAAATTAAAGCCACTAATAACTGGAAAATGCAGTTTGTTAGAAATTTTGCATTTGGTTAAGTCTGAGTAGAAGGAATGGAATCACTAACACCGAGTAACAAGGTATGAGAAAGCCCTGTATCTGGCTGACCGATACCGTGCACAGGGAGTCCTTGATGGGGAAACTCACTGTGTTCTAGGAAGTCATGATAAAAAAAAACCTTTGGAGGGAGGACCTTGGTGTGCTTTGTCGTTTGTCTCATCGCGAAGTTCTTATTGAAAAGAAAACGGAAGAGGAAAAATTTATTTTTCGAGTAACCAAGTGTGAATCACCTATTTATATTAAAGAACAAGTTGATTTGCCATCTGAAGGATAGCAGACGTGCTGAATTGCATGTTCTTTTGAACATAGCAATAATGGTTAATGAAACGGACGGTACTGCATGTAAACTGTGGCATAAAGCAGACTGTCTTTTCTGCTACCTGGTGTGCATCCTGCTGGCCAAAAGATACTTTGTTCAGATTAAAACCAAGTGAACTACATCAGCTATCCCCACAATGCACATGGGTACACATCCTCTGGATGGAGTGCTACACAGACTTTAAAATATTATTTTATAAAGACATGTAAATGTGGGGAAATGCATCTGTATTCATTGAAAGGCTCTAGAGATGCAATTTGACTATGTAAAATAAAAGCTTGGAAACATCCATTAAAATGTCGAGCGATTTTAGGGGTGATTTCATCTCTACTTGTTTTAATCCTAAGCAACATATACCACACAATGTAAATATTAGCTTTACAAGGCTATGGGACTGGAATAAATCCAGATCTTTCACTTTAATTTTTTGAATCAGGACCCTGGACGGGGGGGATAAGTATAGCTCAGTGGGAGAGCCCATGCTTAGCATGCACGAGGTCCTGGGTTCAGTCTGTTGTTTAAGCCATCCGGTCATGGTGTCTTGTTATGCCAACCCTACAAACTAATAAAAGCACCTACTCTATGCGGACTTAAAGCTAAGCATAGCACGAGCGGAACAGACATGGCCCAAGACTTGAGGAGATGAGTTCAAGAGGAGAAATACTCTTGTCCCCTAGTCCCCACAGCCTCTTCACTCCAGGTTCTGCCCCAGTTCTTGGGAGACTCATTCCTAGAATATGGAAGAGAGTCAGCACCAGCCTCTGACAGATGACAAGTGGAGGACAGGAGCTGGGGTTGGTTGGATGAGTGGAGAATTACTCCTCCTCACTGGGGCAACCCAACTGTAATGCAGATCTTCCTCCAGAGGGTGAATGTGAACCTCCAGGAAAAGCGGTTCCGCCCCCAAAATGGAGAGTAGTGGATTCTGGCACAAGGACAAAGAAGGACCCCACATCAACATACTTGTTATTTCATTCCGATCAAGATGTTGGAAGTAAGAGATTTCCTTTTTTCTTTATATCATCCCCCACTAATTGCTTTTGACTCTC